AGGTATGTGTTCTACGCAGACGGAGACCCCGTGATGCCATGGGGGGAACCAGCAGCAGCGCACAAGGAGGAGCTCCTCCACCGATTGCAGAACGTGGCGAGCTTGACAAAAGAGCGCTTGCTCGCGGACTTCCCGCGGACTGACGTCCGCTCGGCGCTGGCCATGTTTGACCGGCGTCTCGTGCAGAAAGGCTTCGGCCCAGTGCCCGATGTGGAAGTGCGGCGTTTCCTTCTGCGGGGCGTTCGCCAGCTGGCGGGCCTCCTCGGCTGCGACGAGCAGGCGGCGGTATTGCAGTACAACGGCGTGCTTCCCTACATGATGCAACAGATGGGGCCATCCCAGCCACTGGCGGGGGCAACTAACCAGCAAGCGTGGGCTCGCATTCTCGACGATGTCTTTTGGGAGGCGGCTTGCCCGAACCGGCTCCGTGGGGCCTCTCGCATGCTCTGCCGCCTCGTGCGTTTCTACATTTCGATTGAAGACGGGGAGTGCACCGTCGAGCGCGACTTAGCCCGATATCGGGATCAACGGGTAGAGCACCGCACTGATGATATTGCTTTTCACGACGACTGCTTGATCCTGAAGTTGAACGGGCCGAAGACGGCATCAGAATTCGACGAAGGCGCGGCTCGCCCTGGACTAGGCTTGACGTCCTTCTCCAGGGAATGCGCCAGCCTCTGGCGGGAACTGCTCGGCCAACGGCGTGGGCATTACAACCCTCAAGCTACTGCGGCGGCCACGTTAAAAAGGAAGAGCGCGCCCGGGCTGGTTCGCGGACGTTCTCGGGCCGTCCTTGGGGCCGCCCGCCTGGCCGTGACTGTTGCCCGCATTCGACGGGCGCGGGGCCCGTCGACCGCGGTGCATTCCGGCGCCGGCACTGAGGGGAGCGCTTTGTGGAGCGACGACATGGGTAAGTTCCAAGCGCGCAGCCGCAACAATATACCAGGCGTCCAGCAGACGCGGGCGCGTCCAGGGGCGCCTTTCGTGAACCCGCCCGGCGTCAACCTGGCCCCGAGACTAGGTTCGACGACGCAGCCTCTGGCGCGGCCCTCGCCGTACAGCAAGGTAGCAAGCCTCGGCGGTGCGACCGACATGTGCCCTGCGAGAGGTTGCGCTACTGCCACTGGCAGACACCGTTGCGCAGAAGCAGACCTCGTCGTCGTTCCAGACTTGGCGTTTCTCCACGACGTGGACGCGCTGGCAGCAAGTGTGGATCTGGCCGTCTCTTTCTTTTACATCGCCTCGCTTGGCCTGGACGTCGTTACGCAGACGCTCCTGGTCGCAGCCCAGGGCCACCCAGACAGAATTCCACTCGACCATCGCACGCGCCACGTCCCAGCAAACGAGCGCCAGGAGGTTATTCATCTCGGGCCAGGCCTCGTCACGGTGCATCCAGATGCGCGGGCGGCGGCGCGGCGCGTGGCCCGCAGAGCGGGGTCGAACCTCGCAGTGTCGGAAGCGGCACCCCCAGCCTCTGGCGGGACGCTTTTCTCGACTCTGCGCGACGTCGTCGCATGGGCGTCTGCAGCGAGGCAGGTGAGGGATTATATAGGGCCCAAAGCAGTGACTGTGGACGGAATTCCAATGCGCGCCTGAGGATCTTACCCGAACAAAAAAGGAGACCCCGCCCGCAAGCAGGCAAGATCACCCAGACGTAGGCCGCACCTCGCCAAACAGTGAACCAGACCACCCAGAAGTAGATCAGACACCGCCCATATTATAATCAGACCGCCCAGAAAGTAGACTTCCCTCCCCCCCCAGAAAAAAGTAAGCCGGAACGCCCGCAAGTAGACCAGACCCCGTCAAAGAGGTAACCAGACCACCCAAAAGTGAGGCAGGCCACCCAGGTAGCAGGCCAGACCCAGCCACGAAGTAAAGCAGACCCCGCCAAAAAAGTCATCCAGACCGCCCAAAAGTAGACCACCTCCGACCCAGAGTAGACCAGACCCCGCCCACAAGTAGACCAGACCACCCAAAAGTAGACCAGACCCCGTCCACAAGTAGAGCAGGCACCACCCAAAATTATACCAGGCCGCGCAAGCACACCCGAGCCCGGACAACAGTAGACCAGACCCCGTCAAAAAGTACACCAGACCCCGCAAAAGTAGACCAGGCCCAGCCCGCAAGTAGACCAGACCCGCCCAACAACTAGACCAGACCGCCCCAAAGTAGACCAGACCCCGCCCAAAAGTAGACCAGACCACCCAGAAAGTAGTCAAGACCCCGTCCAAAATATACCAGACAACCCCAAAGTAGACCAGACCCCGCCAACAAGTAATCCAGACCACCTAAAGGTAGACCAGACCGCGACCCAGAGCACGCCAGACCAGCCGCAAGTAGACCAGACCCCAGACAAAAATAGACCAGACCGCGTCAAAAAGTAGACCAGACCCCGCCCAACAGTAGACCAGACCCCCCAAAAAAGAAATAACACATATATATATATATATATCCAGACTGCCCCAAAGTAGACCAGAGCCCGCCAACAGGTCATCCATACCACCCAAAAGTAGACCAGACCCCAACCCAGAGTAGACCAGACCAACGGCAACTAGACCAGACCCAAGACAAAAGTAGACCAGACCCCGACCAGAAGTAGATCAGACCCCGCCCAAAAGTAGATCAGACCACCCACACGGAGACCAGACCCCGTCCAAAAGTAGACCAGACCCGCCCAACAGTAGATCAGACCACCCGCAAGGAGACCAGACCCCGCCCAAAAGTAGACCAGACCCGCCCAAAAGTAGATCAGACCACCCGCGAGGAGACCAGACCCCGCCCAAAAGTAGATCAGACCCCGCCCAAAAGTAGATCAGACCACCCATAAGGAGACCAGACCCCGCCCATAAGTAAACAAGACCCGCCCAACAGTAGACCTGACCAACCACGAGTAAACCAGACCCCGCCCAAAAGTAGACCAGACCCCGCCCAAAAGTAGATCAGACCACCCACAAGCAGTCCAGGCCCCGCCAAAAGTAGACCAGACCCCGCCCAAAAGAAGATCAGACCACCCACAAGGAGACCAGACCCTGCCCACAAGTAGATCAGACCCCGCCCGCAAGTAGATCAGACAACCCATAAGCAGACCAGGCCCCGTCCAACAGTAGACCAGACCCGCCCAAAAGTAACCAGATCACCCACAAGGACGCCAGACCCCGCCCCAAAGTACATCAGACCCCGTCCAAAAGTAGATCAGACCACCCACAAGGAGACGAGACCCCGTCCAAACGTAGAGCAGACCACGCCCGAAAGAATGAATAAGACATCCACCCAGCGCAGCTGATCGGTTCAAGGACCAAGTGCTGGCAACGAGGCGCGCGCCCGACTCTTCTTGCGTCTCTTCGTGTGCTCGCGCCGCCCATGGCGCCTCATCAGGAAGCTCTTCCCGCGCCGAAGAGGCCGCGCACGGCACAGCAGCCTGCAGCGCCGCCTGCACCGGCGCCTGCGGCGCCGTCTGCAGCGGCGCCCTCACCGCCTGCGCCATTGGCCGTCGAGGAGCTGCTCGAGATGGATTCGGTGCAGAGCCAGGCGGGGCATCTGATCAATTGGGCCAAGGGGGCCAAGGAGTGCGTCGACAATGCTCTCCTGAAGTTCCTGTCTGAGAAGCAAGCGCTGGTGGCCTTCAAAGTGCCCGCCTCCGTCATGCTCATCCCTCCTCTGAAAATTTCTTCCGCAGCCTCTGGCGCGCACCTGACATCGTTTCGGGAGGTCATGCAGTACGACAACTTGCAGTTGAGCTTCTCTACGACGGGGCAGTACGAGGCTGCAGGGACGGTGTGGATGCTTGACCCGCTCGCCGCCGACACGTCCGACATCGTCTCTATCAGCCAGCTCGATGCCGCCATGGCGAACTGGACTGAGGAGAGGCTCTTGCTGTCTTCCGACCACCCGCCGTCGCGGCGCTACTCGTTCGACGTGCCGCTCCCAGCAGGAGTTGTCAACGCCAAGGTTGCCCAGCGCATGACCGAGGGCGAATCCACTGTTCTCATGGCAACGGGAGTGCCCATGCTGGCGGGGCACCCGCTTGTGATGGCGTGGTATGGCGCCATGGCAGAGGCATTGTCCGCCGGCAACAGTGATCGCACATTCAAGCTGTTTGAGGCAGCTTTGTCTGTGCCGATCAGGCTGCGTCTCAGCCCCGACCCTGACGCCTGCCTGCTAGCGTCGCTGCTGTTCTCTGAGACCGTATTCTCTACTTCCGCAGCCTCTGGCGCGGATGCCTTTTGGAAGCTGGCTGAAAAGGTGAGTCGCCTGACAAAGTACCAGAAGGCTGTGGCCGAGAACATATCTCTTCCGAAATTGACCAAAGTCCTCACGACCTACGGGATCACGTTCAAGGGCAACGCGCTCACCGAGGCACACGCCAAGGCTTTGAAAAGCTTGACGCCTTTCGTCGGGAATCACGCTTGCGCCGTGGCTTACTCTTTGGCGGAGGCTTTCTGCCCCGAGCTCCGCGAACCCACGCTGTTGATGCGGCTGGCGCAGCTCTGCAAAGCAAGGACGGCGCCCTCCCAGGCAGACAAGGACGCGGCTGCCTGCGACTCGATGGCGTTCGTCCTGGACTGCTTGCGCGTTGCCCGGCTGACAGGCGACGCCCCCATGGGGGGGGGGGCTTTCTGTGGGACGGGTCACGAAGAGAAAGAAGACCCCCGCGCTGACGCACGTGCTGTTCAAGAAACATGATGTCATCGAGTACATTATGCACGAGGCGGCGATGATCGACAAAGACATGGCGCCTACAGTATCCATGTTTCGCTCGCCGCTTGCCATCGTGAAGCACTTCTCAGCCTCTGGCGAGAAAGGCTTAGCTGCTGCATTTCGGCGAGAGGAGAGCTCCGATAACACAGGGTTGGAAAACATGTTCGCTGTCCCCGTGGCCGAATACCGCGACCAGCAAGGCCGAGAAGCGAAGACGCAGGCGTTGATCGACTTCGCGTGGGCCGTTTGGGCTGGCCACTTCGACGAGGAGCTCCAGGAGCTGGCCGCCCAAAGACCTGCAGGGAGGTGCAGCCGCCTTCCTGTGGCACCGGTATTTCACCGATAGCACCAAGGAGATGGGCGTCAAGTACCGCGCGCTGACCGCTGCTTGCGCGGCGGGTCCCATTTCGACTGGCACTGCCGAGGGCGGGGCCTCTGGCGTGGTCATGGGGGCGTCCGAGCTCGCGGAGGCCGACCAGGAGGACCTCAAGAAAACCAAGGACTTGCTCCTCTCTCTTCGCAGGAAGTCCGTTTCGTTCGTGGCGCTGCCGTCGGTTGGCGGAGCCACTGGCGCGGAACGCAGCACCGCCCAGTTGCAGAAACTCTGGGAAGAGATGCGTCTCGGACATAGGTACGCCAGGAAAAAGCAAGACGTCCGAGCATTCGTTGGGTCGGCCGACCTGTTCGCCCCAAACGTGAGCAAGAGCGGGGCGGCGGCGAGCTTGGGCGACCACGTCGCTGTGGATGCGGAGCGTTTCGGGCGGGTGCTTGATTTCGTCTCGCAGAAGCGCTCGGTTCACGATATCGTCATTTTCCTCGACGGGCGGAGCCGGTCGCGCCGCAAACTGCTCGAGGACAAAGAGGAGGGTCTCGCAGCCTCTGGCGCGCACGCTGTGACTGAGTGTTGGTGTGTGTATGTGCAGCCGGGCAAGGCACAGGACCCCAGAGTCCCGGGAAGAGTGACTTGTTTTGCGTGCAACAACAAGGAAGTCGTCATCTGCTCCATCCCGAAAAGAGGCGTCATGAAGGTAGTGCAGCGCGCGGAGTTCAACTTGTGCGGCGAGACCACGAGTTCGTACACGACGTACACGGGCGTGCCTATGCGGCACTACCGCGAGCTGCCGCGGATGACCCACGACACGAAGGCCTCGATCTTGGGAAACGCAGCCGCTGGCCCGGTGAGAGGGAGGCGCGCGCAGAAAGACATCGAGGCGAACGGGCACCCCTTCTCGCACTTGGAGGTCAAGCCATTGAGCTTTTGGCAGCGGATTTGCGAGCACCATCACATCACGCACATCGTTGACTTCACGGCGGGGTCTGGCGCGTTGGCAATCGCAGCCTCTGGCGCGATGGAGTACGAGGGCGTGGCGGTCAACGAGGTGCACCGGGAGTGGCTCGACGCGACCTTGGACCGATGCGCACTGCACATGGCGGGGCATGACAAGAATTTCGCCCAGAAGCTCGGCGGCGACGACGGTTTCGCTGAGAAAGTAGAGAAGTACTTCGCGGGAACGATGATGGAGGTGCGGCGCTTGCTCGAGCCAATCGCGGACGAGGTGGACGGGGATGGGGGGAGCTCGGACTCAGCGGAGGAGTAGATCGCAGGCGCGCGATCGCGGGTGGGAAAACGACGCAGCCTCTGGCGCGCCACTGACGCGGCCTGGCCCTGACTCAGGTGTCGAAATTTTGCGCGCGTCGCGACTCCAGTGCGTGAGCAGTTCCGGGGTGACGCCTCTGGCGCGCGAGGAAGCGTGCAAGACCTTCCAGCGCGGCCAAGTTTTGATGGGTAGACCAGTCTCTTGCCCGGAGGTGCAGCTTCATACGCGCCCTTGGACGCGCGCGGCGCTGTTACGCAACAGAGGAAATGTTCCGACCCCGCACAGACGCAAGCCAATCCATTCAGCGCAGAAGGCCAGGCCGCCCGTCAAACCAGGCCAAACCACCCATAAGTAGACCAGACCCTGTCCACAAGTAGAGCAAAACCCGCCCAAAAGTAGACCATACCACCCATAAGTAGACCAGACCCCGCCCAAAAGTAGATCAGACCACGCCCAAAAGTAGATCAGACCACACACAAGGAGACCAGACCCCGCCCAAAAGGAGATCACACCCCGCCCAAAAGTAGATCAGACCACCCGCAAAGAGACCGGACCCCGTCCAAAAGTAGACCAGACTCGCCAGACAGTAGACCAGACCACCCTTGAGTAGACCAGACCCCGCCTTAAAGTAGGTCAGACCCCGCCCAAAAGTAGATCAGACCACCGACAAGGAGACCAGGCCCCGTCCAAAAGTAGACCAGACCCGCCCAACAGTAGACCAGACCACCCTTGAGTAGACCAGACCCCGCCTTAAAGTAGGTCAGACCACGCCCAGAAGTGCATCAGACCACCCACAAGGACGCCAGACCTCGCCCAAAAGTAGATCAGACCCCGCCCAATAGTAGATCAGACCACCCACAAGGAGACCAGACCCCGTTCGCAAGTAGAGCAGACCCCGCCCAAAAGTAGATCAGACCACCCACTAGTAGACCAAACCCTGTGCCCCAGTAGAGCAGGCCCGCCCAAAAGTACACCAGACCACACGCAAGTAGAGCAGACTCCGCCCAAAGTGCGTCGCACCCCGTCCAGAAAGAAAAAGGGCCCGCTTCTGGAAACCAGGGAAGACAGCCCGGGCAGTTTCTGGAAACGAAAAAAGAAAACCAGGCCGTTTATGAAACCGAGAGAAGAAAACCGGGCCGTTTCTGGAAACGAGGAAAGGAAAAGGGCCGTTTCTGAAACCGAGGGAAGAAAACCGGGCCGTTTCTGGAAACGAGAAAACAAAACCGGCCCGTTTCTACAAACGAGGAAAGAAAAAGGGCCGTTTCTGAAACCGAGGGAAGAAAACCGGGCCGTTTCTGGAAACGAGGAAAGAAAACCGGGCCGTTTCTGGAAACGAGGAAAGAAAAAGGGCCGTTTCTGAAACCGATGGAAGAAAACCGGGCCGTTTCTGGAAACGAAGCAAGAAAACCGGGCCGTTTCTGAAACCCAGGGAAGAAAACCAGACTGCTTCTGGAAACGAAGGAGGAAAGTAGCCCACTAGGCATGCTTTCATTTTCTCATCTCGGTTCTGAAACCGAGGGAAGAAAACATGTTCGGATTTGGCATGTTGGCGAGCATGTTGTGGGCCCTATATGACATGTAGTATAGAGCCCACAACATTCTCGCCAACATGCTAGACCCGAACATATTTTCTTCGCTCGGTTTTGCAACCGAGCGAAGAAAACATGTTCGGATTTCCGACATGTTTTCTTTCTTTGTGTGGGGGGGGGGGGACCACAAGTTTTCTTCTGTCGTTTCCAGAAACGGTAGGGTTTTCTTCCCTCGGTTTCAGAAACGGCCCTTTTTCTTTCCTCGTTTCCAGAAACGGCCCGGTTTTCTTTCCTCGTTTCCAGAAACGGCCCGGTTTTCTTCTCTCGGTTTCAGAAACGGCCCTTTTTCTTTCCTCGTTTCCAGAAACGGGCCGGTTTTGTTTTCTCGTTTCCAGAAACGGCCCGGTTTTCTTCCCTCGGTTTCAGAAACGGCCCTTTTTCTTTCCTCGTTTCCAGAAACGGGCCGGTTTTGTTTTCTCGTTTCCAGAAACGGCCCGGTTTTCTTCCCTCGGTTTCAGAAACGGCCTTTTTTCTTTCCTCGTTTCCAGAAACGGCCCGGTTTTCTTTTCGCGTTTCCAGAAACGGCCCGGTTTTCCTTCCTCGTTTCCAGAAACGGCCCGGTTATATTTTATGGTCGGGGTCTGATTTACTTTTGGGAGGGGTCTGGTCAACTTATGTGTGGTCTGGTCTACTTTTGTGCGGGCCTGCTCTACTTGTGGACAAGGTCTGGTCTACTAGTGCGTGGTCTGATCCGCTTCTTGGGCGGGGTCTGATCTACTTTTGGGTGGGGCATGATCTCCTTGCGGGTGGTCCGATCTACTTTTGGGCGGGGTCTGATCTAGTTTTGGGCGGGGTCTGGTCTACATGTGGGTGGTATGATATGCGTCTGGGCGGGTCTGCCCTATTTGTGGACCAGGTCTGGTCTACGTTTGGGTGGTCTGATCTACTTTTGGGCAGGTCTGGTCTACTTTTAGGCGGGGTCTGGTCTCCTTGCGGGTGGTCTGATCTACTTTTGGGCGGTGTCTGATCTACTTGCGGGCGGGATCTTGTCTCCATGTGGGTGGTCTGATCTACTTTTGGGCGAGGTCTGATCTACTTTTTGGGGGGGTCTGGTCTACGTATGGGTGGTCGGGTCTGCTGTTGGGCGGGTCTGCTCTACTTTAGGGCGGGATCTGGTCTCCTTGTGGGTGGTCTGATGTACTTTTGGGCGGGGTCTGATCTACTTTTGGGTGGGGTCTGATCTCCTTGCGGGTGGTTTGATCTGCCATTGGGCGGGTCTGCTCTACTTGTGGACGGGGTCTGGTCTCCTTGTGGGTGGTCTGATGTACTTTTGGGCGGGGTCTGGTCTCCGAGTGGGTGGTCTGATCTACTTTCGGGCGGGGTCTGATCTACTTTTGGGCGGGGTGTGGTCTATTTGCGGGTGGTCTGCTCTGCTTTTGGGCGGGTGTGCTGTACTTGTGGGCAGGGTCTGGTCTACGTATGGGTGGTCGGATTTATTTTTGGACGGGGTCTGGGCTACTTTGACGCGGGGTCTGGTCTCCTTGTGGGTTGTCTGATGTACTTTTGGGCGTGGTCTGATCTACTTTTTTGGGCGGGGTGTGATCTACTTTAGACCATGAATTTCCATGGCGTGTGTTTGTTACATCTTCTTAACTTGTTTGCTTTGCTACGACATGCTATCCCAAACCGTGCTCCGTGATCGTTTGAACGCTGTCCATATGTACGCATTCCCGTGGTATGCCATGCGTTGTTAAGCAATGCTGTGCCACGCCGTGCGCTGCTCTCCGGTGTGGTGCGATGCTATGCTATAGTATGCGACGCCATCCGACGGGATGCCATGCTGTAGCTCTGGTGTTCCCACCCAACAACCTCTCTGTGAGACACATGGTGGTCGTGTGTGAATGTTGTACACAGTACGGCTCTGGCGTACTTCTGGGCAGTGTCTGGACTTGGTGCGAGTGTGCTCTGTGCATTGCATTGCAACGCCTTGCGAACACATGGAACCTTGTGCGATGCGATGATATGCCGTGCTAGGCCACGCGATGCAGTGCTATGCGATCCCATGCTATGGCTCCTGTCGGGCCCTCCCCCCCGGGGTGGCTGGTCGCGTGGGAATGTCGGCGCGGAATCTCAGAGACTTCATAGAGCTGCGCGTGCCAGCCATGCAAGTTTGCGCGCGCCTGGCACGCGGAGGGACGGGGGCAGGGGTGGGGCGGAAAGTGGGAGGAGGAGGAGGTTTTGGACGAGGACGAGGACGAGGACGAAGAGGAGGGAGTGGAAGTGGGAGGAGGAGGAAGGAGTAGTAGAGCAGGAGGGAGTAGAAGACGAGAGGAAGTGGGACGAGGAGGAAGGAGTACAAGAGGTGGGAGAGAACAACCATGGAATATGGGGAGGCGGACCAATCGTCGCCACGGCTGGAGCATGCTGGAGCCACGGAGGCATCGTCGCCACGGCTGCCTTCGCCTCGAAACTCTGGCCAGAGCGTCGCCACGTCGCCAACGTCTCTAGGAGAGCAGTGCGCCCCCGGAGGGCCGTTCGTCGCCACGGCTGGACGCACCTCTGAAAATCGAGGCGGTTGGATCCTGGGAGGGCTCCAGGGAGCGGTTGTGAGTAAGACGGGGAGGAGGAAAAAGAGGCAGGGGGCAGCTGCTCTCCACAGCCGTCTCGGCCCAAGCCGCTCGTGCTGCAAGCGCCTCCAAGCCCTCTCGGCCCAGTCCACAGCCGCTCCAAGCCCTCTCGGCCGGGATGTCGGAGCATCCACTCGCTGGGCCCCAACCTTTGGCGGGAGACTTGACTGAACCCCAGCCTCTGGCGGGAAACTTGCGGGATTGGCGCCGCGGCAATCCTCTCCGAACCAGCGAGACCATTGCCTTTGGCAATACCAGCGCCAAGCCGACCCCCGGCGCACAACGGCCGTGGCACTACTACTCAGTCCAAATGCCTACGGGGGGAAGCCACAAGTGGCTCTTCGTTCCTTTCCTCGTGAGGGCCCCAGCCTCTGGCGGGACACCCCTTCCAATGGGAGCGCCGCAGGAGGCGCAGTTGGAAACCAGAGTGAGGGAGGGCGTTCTGATGGAGCACTACGCAACATCCACCGCCTACGCGCCCTCTTGCTGAGCCACCCGCTCGTCTCCACCGCCACGCCGCACAAGGTGGACAAGGCGCTCGACCCCAAGTGCTTCGACGAGGACGGTTGGGCCTATAAATATCACCAGTCCCCTTGGGACTTGTCAGTGACGCTCGCAGCCTCTGGCGCGAAGTTCACCCTCGGATGGACCACAAACCATATCAAGAAGCCGCTCGCGGCGATGTGGTGGTTGATGCAAGGGAAGGCCGCGACGGCGGATAACCTCGCCCACGCGGAGGCGATATTCTTGGATGTCGCCGAGGCCGCCCGCTCGTGGCCGCTCGGCTTCCCCCCTGAGGAGGGGGGGGCCGGGGCCAGTGCGAGCTCTTCCTCTGCCGGCGTCG